CCATTACTCATCCGACATGTGGGTGCTCGACTGGATCTTCAGGGTTGTTACAATCTAATGCCCCACTTGCTCAGTAAAAGACCGTGTCTCTGAATTAATCAAATTATGTAACTTGTTATTCGGTGCCCCACAATTCTTAGTGGCATGCTACAAACTTCATATCTAGCTCTCAAATCTTTTCTAGGCGCGAATGAGATGACCTCAAGTCACAAGATTCTCCACAAGTTACCACTAGGATCCGTGATTAATGCATGTTAAGATGCAATGTATATTATGCAATGTATGATGTATAGATGTAAATGTAAAGATGCAATGTATATTATGCAATGTATGATGTATAGATGTAAATGTAAAGATGTAAAATGTATATATGAATGCAAAAATACAGAAATGTGAATGCAAAACGTGCGATGCAAATGTATGTATGTGAAAATTGTCATTCCAGAGTGACCATCTTAAAACAACTTTCATTGAACACAAGGGTTTTAGTATGTCAAACAAACTTTACACATAAGGGATAACTTTAACTCATATCTTCTCCATCTCTCTCAAAATCCGAGTTAGCTTCCTCTCATGGTCGGATGTTGAGTTATCCATCTGCTTCAATTATCTTGCAAAGTCAGTTAAATCAACTAATTTATGAGCCACATTGCATGCTTGGGTTATGGCTTCTTTCATGCTATCATCTTTTTCCTTCATCTTCTGTGTCGATTCTCGGAGCTGTAGACACTTTTGTTCATTTTTCCTCATAAGAAAGTCTTCGTTGTTATGAACTCTTTGGGTAATATTTTCAAAATTATCTACAATCCTCATCAATGTCTCGTTCTTGGCTCTAGTGGTTTCTACCTTGGCATCAATCTCACGTTCGTGGCACTGATATGAAGTTTCCATGTTGGATATTGACATATCCAACATATAATTCTCGACTTGGCATCTTTCCAAATCATCTATGACTGTATTACGTCTTTTTTCTGCAATCTGTTAATCAATAGAGGATTTCTTGGCTCGATCTTTATGCAACTTGCAATTCTTTTTCTAGTTTTCAGCGTCATTTTTCAGTTTAATGACCCCGTTTGCCCACTCCTCCAGTGCATTTCCTATATCATCATTTTTAAAGGCTTGATTGATCCTTTGAAAATCATCACGCATGGCCTCGATATCTCTATTCAGTTTATCATTTTCACTTCTTAAATGATGAACTTGAGTTTCGTACTTTAGTAAATCTTCTTCCTACTGGATGTCCCCACTGATATCCTTACCTTTGAACACTTTTGGCTCTGTCTTAACATGACAATCAGTTACCAAACTAGGTCGACCTTTGATCTTGAACTCCATGATCTAAAAGGTGTTGGACTCGATGCTTGAAGGCAGTGTAATTCTCAATGGCATATCCTCGAGCTCCTCTCGATTTGGATTAAACTGGAGTCTTCGGGTTTATTTCTCCTTACGCTGGGAGTGGACTCTCAAATTACCATGAGTTTTTTATTGCAGGGCTTCTTATATAGTTGTCACCATTTCCTTGGGGTCTCCAGATAACTTGTTGATATGAATGATTATTGGATATGATTTTTCAAATCGGTTAGAATCAGCTTGCTCTAAAGTAGTCCCTTGTGTATTTGATGTCGCAAGATCGTTTTGAACGAGCGCTTTCCCTTCTCTTGCAGAAGTCTCTTTTCCCTTGGCTAGAACAGCTAATCCACCCATCCTCTTGGACAATCCCTTGTCTCGATCCAAAAAACCAACAAGCTAAAACAAAGGTCAGAAATATGAAACATGTAAATCACACGTTAGTACAACCAATAAATAAATGATGCACGATGCAATGCAAACAAAACATGAGGATCAAAATTTAAATATCATTCAAATTTATCATTTCAACTAAAAAATGACGTATAATCGATTACAGCCTGGCTCTCTAATGTCCCCAGCGGAGTCGCCAAGCTGTCAGAATGATCCTTAAGCTTTTTAAGGCTATGGCGGGGATCGATCCAACTTAATCTTGGGAAAAAGGTTGGGTTTCAAAATAAAAGAAATAAATATTTTCGGAGTTACCATCGACCTTTGGGTTAGGTAGGTCGAATACCTAAAAATACCTTTTAAAATAATTTTAAGAAAAATAATTTTAAAATATAAAAAATGATATGTGTTTAACCAAAATTCATTTTGAAAAAGGGTTTGAGAGTCGATTACGTGTGGGGAAGGATTAGCACCCCCACAACGCCCGAAATTGGTACCTGAACAATTATACGTCATCAAAATATTGAAATTGGCAAATTCAAATAACATTTAAATTATGATCCTTTTTAGAAAAATACAAGGGATATTATTTTGCACGAATAATTCTCGAAAATACCTTCCTTTTCAGTTAAGAGGGCATTTCTATGGATTCCCCATACAAAATAATATTACCCAAATTTTAAATAAAATACATACATTAATTACATTTAAAAAAATAAATTCATAAGAATATAAAATGCATTATCTTGTTCGAACAATTCTTGGAAACACACTCATTGTTAGTAAAAGTATGCTTCCATAAATTCCCCGTACAACATGTTATCCAAATACAACGTGCATTTACAGTAATGAGAAACCAATGAGGGCTTAAACAAAATACCATGAATACAAGAAACTTAAATGCAAGTAATAGGAAATTAATTGAATATGTGAATGAATACCAGAGTGAAAAGATAATAACTTTGAGGATTAAACCATAAAACCAACAAAAATCATGGTCATAAACAAAAACATCACTCAAACTAGGTACTGGAATTGTAATAAAGCCAACATTAACATTAAGGACTAAAATGGAAGTTATTAAAATAAGGTACTTAAGTTGAAACAAGCGTAAAAATAAAGTAACAAGTAAAAAAGGACTAAATTAAAGATTCGTCAAAACATAGCATGCAAATCGAGAATTTAAACATTGACCTCAGTGCAAATACACGTTGAAATTAAAAGGGTTGAAGCATAAGTATCCCAAATTAATAGGCCAAAAATAAATTAATAATAGAAATCTGCAAAATAGCGAAATAAAAACATCACAATTAAACTAACAACAAAACCTCATCAGGTGATCAAAATGTAAATAGGCGCACAAATTAAAAGGGCTTACACATAAATAACCCAAAAAATTAAAAATGAAATACAAAACTAGAAAATAAGGAAATCAGGACAAATAAAAAGGGCAAAATCCAAAAATGATCCCAAATGGTAACTAGAATGTAAATAAACGCGAAAAGTGGAGGGACTTAAGGCGAATAACACCTAAACTCATGTTATAAAAGCCATTTTTCTGTTTTGTTTCATTTTTAACCCTAATCCTAAAAAGCCCCGGATATTGGGGGGTTTGCTGGTGATGTGGCTGCTCGGGACAATTGATGCATCAGTCGATGTGGCGTGGGGGGAGCTATTGCTGGGACCAGCTTCAGTGGCTGATGATCATTGTGTAGTTAGGGTTTCTAACCCTTAACATTTTGGTTTTTTTTTTGTTCGGCCTGATCGGGCTTGTTTGTAATTTGGGGCCCAGTTTCGAGTTTGTATCCTACAAACGAAAATAAGAATAATAATAATAATAAATAATAATGATAATAATAATAAAATAAAAGTGGGTATCCAGATTAAAACGGGTGTCGACAATTATATATTTAAAAGATGTATAAAAGCTTAGGTAGACATAAAATTTAAAGTATTTGTTCTTTTTTGCAGTAATTGAGCATGCTTGAATTGACAAAGCAACAACAATAATAAGATGGAGGCAGGCAATGGGCTCTTCAATTTCCACTTTTCGTTTTCACATGATTAATTTGGATTATTTTATTTTTATAACTGATCAAACATAAAAGTTTTTAATGTGATAATGAGAAATGTCCAGCCATATACATAAAATTGGGCTACGATCGAAAGAAAATTTCACGATTGGATATATATATACATAAAATATGTGGAATTTTACGTACCTACGTGTAATGATATATATTTGAAATGTATGATGTCAACATCAGGTTGGAGGCCTAGTTAGGGATGTAAAATTGGGTAATCGTTCAGGTTTCACTCAGATCCTGTCAGGTCGGGTAAAATCGAATACATGTCAAGTCATATCAATTTGATACTTCGACTCGAATCAGATCGGGTCCAGGTCAAATCAGGTCGGGTCATTTTCAAGTTGATTTGACACCAGGTTCAGCTCGGGTTTAGGTCGGGTTACTTTCAGTTCAGATCGATGTTAGTTCATTTCAAAACAGTTCAAGTCCGGAACAGTTAAAGAAAAGGTTAATTCAGGTTCAGATGGACTTCAGGCGGATCTCGTTCAAATCGGGTCACGTCATTGGCAGATAAAATTCAGTTCGGATCTTTATCATATATGGATTGAGTTTAAATCGGGTTAATTTTTATTTTTGGATTAATTTTTTTTGTCTTTTGTGAACATTGAATTACAATTGGTAATTGTATATGATTTAGAGTGCGTTTGGTTCACGGAATATAATATTACCATTGGGAATAAAAGATTACCATGGAATAGGATTACTGGGAATGTTACATTACTATATTTGGTTTGTTTGGCAGAAATGTAAGATTACAGTGTTTGGTTGAAGGAATAAAAGATTACTGGAATGTATATTTTACCAAATTGTCCTTGTTCTATATTTTTTAACAAGTGAAATTCTAAATATTTAAATAAAAATTATTTATATAAAAATTCATCGATAATATTGTTGAAAACATTTTGATATTTCGATATAACAAATAAGTATATTTGTTCGAATCATTTTCATGTTTGGATTCAAATTTGACAAGTTAAATTTCACTGCTTCAATTTGTTGCTAAAACTTTCATAAATGATCATCCATGTCCACTACATTAATTAAGGATTTCATTAGGGTACAATTCCCTTGATCAATGTCATTTACACATTTTAATCAAGACATGTAGATTCCTCTAGCTTTCCTTCATGTTAACTATTTCATGGATGATTGTATTTCTCATGTTTTATTCTTCAGCTTCTGCTTCTTTGTCTTTGTCATGCTCGATGACTGAACATAAGTCTCTTGACATGCCTTGATAATGCATCGAACGTGCGGGTCGTCCATCGGAATCTTAGTTAGCAAACTCTTCGCAGACTTGGGATCTCCTGAAGCCAAAAGGACTTGATACATCCTGCAAGAGAACACAACAATTCAATCCATCAAAGGAGACGACTGGTTGATGAAATGGTTATACATAGACTTTAAAAACAAAGCAACAAAGCCGAGAAAAGAAGACTGAGGGAGGATTACTAACCTTAAGAATGTTAAAACATTGAAACGAAGGCTAGCTGCCTGATATTCACTCCAAATTAAAAGAGAGTTCTGTAAATGTTTTGAGTTTAGCAAGAAGTAAGGAGAAAGTCAAGACTTTTACGAGAAGAGGAGGACAAGCCTTAAATAATTAGGTTGTTTCTCAACAATTACACAGAATATATATTCAATTAAGAGATGGAACCATGTAAGGCAAATGCATTCAGATAAACACACGAGATAACATATTAATGAGAGGTGCAGAAAAGAAAAAGGCATAAAATATTTGCCAACCAACATTTGTAAAAACTCGCATACATTTGGAGATAGAAAGCCCCCCTTGTTGTCTTCTAATGACTGAGTGCAACTACCAAGTGTTCAAGTTTCTTTTTCGAGTTTCAACCATACTAAGATGGGTAAGGGCATTAAAAGCAAGATGTATACACAAAATCAAGAAAGAGAATAGGAAAAAACCTCGTCGAAAACAGCTTCCATAGCCAAATCATTGGTATGAAGCTTATCATTAAGCTGCTTGAGCAAATCAATAGCCGATCTAAGATCAAACAATCAATTAAAAAAATGAAGATAAAAGATTACTATATAAAGAGTTTGATCAATGAGAAAACTAGGTAGAGTAGATAAATTCCCCAGAAAATGAAAATTATTGAGTTATCCAACCTTAAGTGCTTATTTCTAACACAATGTAAGACTAGTCTGCAACATCCATCAACCCAATAGTCTGGATCCTGTATTTCCTCCAGTACTTGAAGTAATATACTCAACTCTCCCTCGGATGTAAAATGCTCCCAAGAGATAGTAAAGATGATAATTAAGATTATTGCAGTTATAGGAAAAAAGAAAACAAAGGTTATGTCGTAAACTTACAATGAGAGCGATAGCAACTTTAGGTTCCAAAGTCCCCCCATTTTGCTTGATTTCCTTGTAAAGGAATGAATTAGGCATCATCCCATTCAATGCAAGAGCTGACACGAGCACACTCTTGATTTCATTTATGCTGCAAACATGTATCATTTTGTCCAAGACTACCTAAAATATAAAATAGATCCTTTAAGACCATAAGAGACATCAAAATGGGTTTAATGCATAAATTGTACTTGAAATATATTCCATATAATTAGGTACTCACAAAGGATTTCTTTATGTACGTGAGTTACATTTATTAGTTTGACATGCTTATTTAACAGATGAGAAGTATACGACTTCTATAGTTGTTAAGTGCTAAATGCATACGTACCTGTTTTGCCTTCTCAATTTGCCCACAAGCTGCATATGCATTTATTTGTGCCATAAAAATATGCTTTGTAACTGGAACTCCAGTACGCTTCATTTCTTCGCGGTACTACAAGCAATCACCAAATTACTGTATCACTTCAAGTGAAATCACAAGAGATGTGTCTTTTAAGAATTTCATCAATGCCAATTGCCAAACCATCAATCACATCAAAAGAAAAAATGGCAGATTTGCAGAGCACAAAAAAATGAATTAACTAAGAACATATTACAGAAAAACAACCTTTTCCTTTTGCAGGGAATAAAGGTACATAGATATGTATACCGACAAGTTGTTCGGGTTTTAACTATTGTTGATTAATGCTTAAGCTTGAGTTGAAAAAGGAGCCTAATTTAAGCTTAACTCGAATGGTTTACACTCATAATAATAATCAAGCTTGTCAAATTCAAGGAACAACTCCCACACCTTTTCCTGAAGGACCACTTAAACAAACCAAAAGAAGGAAAAGTAAATGCTCAACCATTTCTGGATAACACTTCAAATCCCTTCCATTAAAACAAAACAATGATATCTCTTTTGCCATTTGTTCTTGCTCTGGATTCCTTACAGAACACCTATGTTTCAACCTAATGACCCCCGACCAGAGAATGACACCTTCTATTCTAGCATGCACCGGTCGACATTTTATAATTTAATCAGAGTTGGTTAAGCTTTAATCGCTATGTTTTAGAATCATTTTATCTGTCTTTTGGATAGGTTAGTTTTCGCAATTGGATTCTTTGGATTTTGTTCATCTTGCTATCTTTTGAAAAACTAACGTTAATGTTTGATGCATACATGTAATTTGTTGTCAGCTGCGGAATTGTTACAGAATTCGGATCATAAACTCTAACAACTTGAAATATTTAGTTTTTGGTTATTGTTTGGAATGGATATTGTTTGGGAAGAATCAAATGTAGTAAAAACAACACAGCTGTGGGAACCTTATTAGTCAATGGTGGTCACCGACAAACAATTTCTAACAAAGGAAGAAACTATGTTCACGGCTAAAATTTGCATATAATGATTTTGATTAAAAGAACAAATTAAAAAAAAACCTTTGTGGACGAGCTTGGTTTTCTTACATAGATTTTTTGCCAGCGAGTGGCTTTGCAAAGGGAGCGAGCTAAATTCTTCTTCCTATCTTTCTTCTGCTGCGATGACCCGGCAACCGTTGACGACTACGAACCGAGAGCGCACAGCTGGAGGCTAGAACGGTGGAGTGTGAGGAAGGAATAAACGTTTTACAGTTTAGGGATTTCAATTTTGAGAACACAAACCCATAACCAAGAAATATGTTGAAAATAAAAACTGAAATATGAATGCCAGAAGCAAATATCTAAGCAAATACCTCAAGGAGATAAGGGATAAACATTCCCGGGAAATCAGTAAAAAAAATCACTATTGGTATTAATTTTTTACTGACACTTGGTAATATAGCCCATCCAAACATGGGTATATTCATCTAGGAAAACAACATTCCTCCCAGGAAATAAATATACCCTGAACCAAACGGGGCCTTAGAGTAAATTACTAAGAATATAAATAATCATGGATCAATTTTATGAAAAATATAAAATTAAGGACTAAATTGAACAAATATGAAATTACAAATAAAAATTTAAATAAATTAAACAACACACATTGATGAGGGACCAAATCGAAATGATTTTAAAATGTGAGGTTGAAATTAATATAGAAAAGGACTAAATTATACCCATTTAAAAAGTTATGGGCTAATTACAAAAATACAAATAAGAAATAAAAGTGGGCCAAATTCATATGCAACTATAAATTTAATGACTAAATTGAATAAATATGAAAATGAACGAATTAAAATTTAAATAAAGTAAAGAACACAAAAGAATGAAATCAGAATAATTGTAAAATGTGAAGCAAATTTGAAAAATAGAGTAAATTGCATTCATTACAAAAGTTAAGAAAAAAAATTAAAACAATTATAATGTATATATATAGATAAACTATGTAGTGTATATATATGAACTATAATATATATAATTTATATTCATAAACTATATAGTTCATTAGTATATATAAATTATTTATGTAGTATATACTACATATAGAAACTATATAGACTATATAATTTACATATGAACTATATATATAGTTTATTAATGAACTATAAAAACTATTTGTATAGTATATACTATATACATAAATATAGTTTATATTTATATATTATATAATATAGTTGATATTTATATACTATATATTATATATATAAACTATATACTATAATTGATATTGGTATATTATATAATATAGTTGATATTTATATACTATATAATATAATTTATACTATATAAATTCAAAGTATATACTATATGTATGAATACTATATAGTTGAATGCATTAATTAATAAACTATTTATATAGTATATACTACATATATAAACTATATAGTTTACATATGAACTATATATATATAATTTATTAATGAACTATATAAACTATTTATATAGTATATACTATATATATAAACTATAGCTTATATTTATATACTATATACTATAGTTGATATTTATATACTATACACTATAGTTGATATTAATATACTATATAATATAGTTTATACTTATATAATTTATACTATATAAATTCAAAGTATATACTATATGTATGAATACTACATAGTTGAATACATTAATTAATAAACTATTTATATAGTATATACTAAATATATAAACTATATATTTTACATATGAACTTGTTGAAAACTTTTTGATATTTCGATATAACAAATTAAGTTAAATGAATTTTAAGATTTTCCAAAAAGATTTTCTAAGTATATTCAGTATAATTATTCGAATATCAAAATATTACTCCAAATCTTTCATATGTTATTTTTAATCCTTACTCAAGTGTAAAATTAAGTTTTAATCTTAAAATAATTTCAAAACGATTTTACAAAATATTTCGAACCATCTCAAAGCCAAAAATTCCAGATTGCTCAGAGGGAACCGATTCCCCCCCAAGGGGGTATTGATTCCCCCCTGAATGGTTTGGCTCCGATAATTCCAGTATGCTCGGAGGGAACCGATTCCCCCCTGGGGGTACCGATTTCCCCCTGTGTAACGGTCGAAATATTTGAATTTTACACTTAGGGAATCGATTCCCCATAGGGGGTATCGTTTCCCCCCAAGCTCGAAACTGTTTTATTAATTGATTTCACACTAAAACGACTATATTATCATCATTAATGATCCCCAACGTTCAGAAGTGATTCAAGGTGTATTTAAGCAAGCTTAGAAGCCATTGATCAAGAAGAAGAAACATCAAGCAATTAAAATCAAGAGAGACTCAAAGAGAAAGCATCAAACCTCAAGTTTGAGCATTTCAAGCCTATTTTTCATTCAATATTCATTTTGCTTTCAAGAACACTTATTGTGCTCAATTGTATTCATTCTTGAGTGTTCTTTTCTTTGTTCTAGAATTGTGCAAACAATCTACCTTGTAAGGATTTCCTTGTAAATTTGCAAATTTGTATTGTTCTCTTTGGGAGAGAGTGTTCTCAAGAATTTGGGGTATAATTCTTGAGGGTTTGTAAGGTTACTCTTTGTCCTCAAAAGAAAGACAAATTAGTGAATTTGTGGAAAATCCTTAGTGTGGATAGCTAAGGTAGTGGACGTAGACTTTGGTTGAGAAAGTCGAACCACTCTAAATCACTATGCAATTTCTTTCAATTTTCTGCAAAAGCTTCCACCAAAATTTTTATTGCCAATTCACCCCCCTCTTGGCCAATTCCGTCAATCGATTAACTCAACAATTGGCATCATAGCCTAACCCATTTGAAGGTTTAATCGCCTCTTGAGTCGATTCGGGAAGAGTTACATCGATAATCAAAGTCATCAATGGCCTCTACTTCAAACTTCGACTCCAGTCTTGATTCGATGCCCGTCAACAAGCCTCATTTCTTCAATGGGGCTAATTATGCCTATTGAAAAAATAGGATGATGTACTTCATTCAAGCAAGTGACATGGGAGCATGGAATGTCATAGAAGATGGATACTTCAAGCCTCTCACTCATCCAAGATTATGGAGTGAATGAGAGACAAAAATGTTCCAGCTCAACTCCAAAGCCATCTATATCATATTTTGTGCTCTTGGACCAGATGAATACGGAAGAGTTTCATCTTGTACAACCGCCAAAGAAATATGGGACAAACTTCAAGTCACTCATGAAGGTACCGATGAGGTAAAGAATAAAATTAGTATTCTAACGCATAGCTATGAAAATTTCTGGATGAAACCAAATAAAGATATCAAAGCTATGACGGATAGATTCTCAACAATTGCCAATGGTCTCAAATCATATGGAGAGATCATTTCATATGAAAAGCTTGTGAGGAAGTTAGTCTACTCCCTCCCAAAGTCGTGGCAATCAAAGAAGACGGCAATCATTAAGTCTAAGGATCTAACATCCTTAACTGTTGAAGAGTTAATCGGTTCACTCCTCACTCATGAAATGATGCTTGAAGATGAGGTGGACCTTGATAAGATTGAAGAGACACCAAAGGAGAAGGAGAAGAAGAAAAACATTGGAGTTCCTATCAAATCCACAAAAAATGAGAGTGATTCGGATGAAGATGACGATGACGAGGAAATGGCATTGTTTGCCAAACGGTTCAGAAAAATGATGAGACCTTACCGAGGAAGAAAATTCAAATGAAATGAAGGCCTCAAAAATGAACCAAAAGAGAATGACCCGATCATTTGCTATGAATGCAAAAAGCTGGGGCATGTCAAATATGATTGCCCATAATTGAAGAGAGATGGTCAATCAAAGAATAAGCACAAGGCTCATGTGGCTACATGGAGCGATGAAGAAGGTTCCGATGAAGAGGAACAAGAAGTAGCAAACTTGTGCTTAATGGCATTCGGGGAAGATTCTAAGGTAACCTCTAACTCATCTGATTTTGATGATTTATCCTACGATGAGCTATTAGAGGAATATAATGGGTTGACTTCGGATTATGAGAAATTGTTTTTAAAATATAAAAATGATGTTTCAAAATTGAAAAATGAAAATAAACTCATATCCAAAACCAACAACGATCTTGAAAGTAAAATCAA